AGCTCTATAATTTCTGTGAAGTATCATATACTTATGGCAATAAGCTTGAATACTTTATATATGTGTATAGATTTTTTAGTGCAAAGTTTTCAGAATTTGTTTACAAATTCTTCTGGCATGAGTGCATTTAAAAGTGTTCTTAATATGAATATTTTTATGACAATTTTTGCTATTCAGCTAATAGTCTTTATGATTATTTCTGTTCATGCATATGAACTCTTTTTTAAGAGAATTCAAAGTTGTACATTAATGTGCATTGGTTGGAGTATATTTTCAGTTTTGTTAATAAAACTTATCCATTGGCTTGATACAAGCAAGAAAAATAATTTCAATATTGATGCGATGCAAGGTTTGGATTATGGAACTGGAATGGCTTACAGTTATTACTATGGATACTTGAAACTGATATTGCCCTCAACAGGAACTTCTCAAAAAAGTTTAATTGAGAAAATTGAAAATATTGAGGACTGTCATAATATATCAATAAGTTGCCACAAATTATTCATTTTAATTCCTTCATCAACATATATACCACCGGATCTTAAAGAAATTTCGTATCAATGGATGGAAAGCGTAGTTGAGTTAGAAGAAGATGTACGTGATCGGGCAGGAGTAAAAAGAAGACGATATCACAATAATCTATATAAAATTTATCCTAATGGTATAAGGACAAACGTTATACCTGAATATGTAGTAGCAGAAGGTGCTACACCTCTCATGACATTCTTCGAAGTTCAGAAACATGCTCATCCTGAGACAAATATTTATAAAACATATCGTGAAAACATTATACAAAAGTTTTATCTAAAATTGAAAGATTTAATAGAGAATGATCCAGAGTGTAATGGTCTTTGTGATTTAATTTATTATGAAGATTGCGATGATAAGGGCGAGAAAGTTAATGTTGCCAAAGTCATACTAGAGAGACTGAATAAAATTGGTAATATAAATCCTTAAAGATATGTATATTCTTTTCTATAAGAATGCAGAACTACAGAAGGAGATGTAATTACGTCAAAGAACTTTTAGATCATACAAGATTTGATCTATAACGCACAATAAACATACAATAAATGTGTGATATATCAACATGTCTTTAAAGTATGTGTCTAAAACTGTACATTGATTGATTTTGTTGTCACATGGACTAGACAGCATACTTACTATAAATACAAGTATTTATGTATGTGTATGAGTATGTGGACTGACATTTCTGACTTTTGTCTATTCTATCTTATCTTAATAACTACACTACTATGTCATACAAAAATGGAACAAATTTTTGAGACAACCCAATAAACTGTTGTAAGAAATTCAAATAAAATTTTGTATAAAAAGATTAATGAAATTTTACAAATGTAACAGTAATTGTAAAATAAAAACAAACGATCACGTTCAAACTAAAATACATAATAATAATAAGGCTATAAGAGTAATGAGAAGTAACTATTTGCAATGTCAAAATATTATTTATTAATAATGGTATCTTTGTTTGCAGTACAATATACAAAATAATTTATTTAAAAATTTCTTTTTATCTTTACTAACAGATAGGATGGTAAATTCTTATCATTGTATCAATTATGATCAATATTTTTTAATAAAACTTTTTGAAGACTTATACCTATAAGATCCAA